TCGTTGTTTCGATAAACATAATCCTTGCTTACACAACACGCATTCGAAGATTCTAAGGGCTCATACCGGAAGTCGCTCAGTTTGATGAAAGTTAGACTGTCGACTATATTTTATGTTAATGACGTTGTTCGCATAACAGCCCAGCATATGTAAAAATTGGGAAATATGAACGCTCACCCCCGAATGAACGAACACCCCATAACGACCATTCATCTTTTCAACGAAAAGAGCATATGGCTTTAATTGAACAAATACACGCCATAATGGTCTAACAGCGCGACACATGTAGGAGACACGTGGCCGATACCGGTACCAAAGAAAACAATCCCCGAACGCGCAAGCACGCTTCAATTCTTATGGCTCTGACTTTAGTGAAATCATTTAACGTCTAGATGTGAACGAAAATGATTTCATTCTCGAGGCAACACATTTTCTTACACTTTCACGACCGAGCCCATGTTTTGGTATGTTTGACGGTATGATTGACTAGGTCCAATATAATCTTGAATGTTAACTGTTACCATTATGCCTGCTTTATTAGGCAGTTGTACATACGACCGTAAGGTAATACTGTATTAGTCATCAGAGACACAACCTCAACTGATTTTTCAACATACTTCATTCATTACGGCACTCATTCAATAAGATCGTTGGATTTTTAGTACTATTTTGATGTTCAGAGAACACCGTCTTTGTAGGTGAAGTTTTGCGAAGAGTACACTTACCTTTTGGCCAATATTTGTTACCAATCCTAGTTCGCCAAACACATATATGTACAGTTCTTTAGAAACAATTGCGTTTGAGGAGTTTTAGTATGAAATGACGGCAGACGTGTTTTGCCGTATCGTGTTACCGCGTGGGTTTGGGGATTCAACTCTCATGGCGAAGACGTGTTCTTCACGTGGACACTTGTATTGGTGTAAACTATGAGCGCGTGCTGCTGCTGTCAAGTGTATTGAACGCGTCAAATCCACATGGTCAAATCGTACATTAATGGTGCCTTGAGGGAAAAGTTGAGTGAACACCCGGCATAAATAAACGACAAATCAGTAGAGAGAAAAGCGAAAATGGATTTCAATGTAAATTTTCAGAATGGAAATTTCCTTAGAAAACTGTACATGCACCGTCAGCGTTAATAAGGATTTCCTTGCATAATTTAATTTAGTACATCACTACATTAATGAAGTGTAGTATATACCTCTTCAAATAACTATGTACACCTACACGCAAAGAATGCTCTAGTCTTTCATACTATACACATTTCTTTAGATTAGTCATAACACCATTTTAAACAACTGAAGAGAGATCGATAAATTCTAATCTTTCACGACAAACTGTTTCTCAGTGTAAGTTTTACATTCGTATCAGCAAATTTGCGATGCCATGGTGTTATCATAAAACTTCTTCCTCGTAATCATGTGATGTGTCCGCTTTCTTAGATCCACTTTTATCGTGCTACAAGCATGAAATAAATTACTTTAGAAATCTAAAAATACTGAGAATGCAATGTTAAACAATTGATGGGTTACATGATGGGCTGATTAGCAATATTGGTTACAATCAGCTACCAATTATGGTTACAATCGGCTACCAATAATGGTTACAATCAGCAAGCAAGCAATCATGGTTACAAACTGAAAACTGCTTAAAAAGTGAAAATTGATTGGTTACATGATTGCTACTCATCAACCAATAATTGCTTGAGGTTTGTAATTGTTTATAATCAACTGTAAAATTTTTTCGACGTTGTAAATTTTAATTTCATGCTAGCTGGGCGATTTATCTCTTGAAAGTTCGGCAAACTAAGCCAGTATTGTGCCATGCCATTATAGGTGTTTAGTCAACCAATTCTACCCAGCATGCATTTGTCTCCACTCAGAGAACACGTAAAAGCATGCCATGGAACTTCAAGGTCAGTGCTGATCACGAATTTGCTCAGGTCGTGCTGTTTCGCGATAGAAGAGTCTAAAATCTTGACTGGCGCTTAAAGGGATAAAACAGTACATAGAAGTAGCAATTTCACCAAAAACGCGGAAGTGAGTTCTTTGGATTTCGGAAACAAAGAGCTAGAATTCGAAAATTGGAATCAAAAAACATCCAGCGAGGAACATGGTGGAAAAACTTCTGGTCTTGTAGCCTTGTTAGAAAAAACTTGGCTTACTAACGAACAATTTTCTGAATTATGTTCGTTAAGTTTTAAAGTCCTCTCGTAGAAGCGACAGCCAAGCCTAACCCTGTTCCCGCCAAGAAGAGAAGACAAGCTGTTCAGACAACAAAGCCGAATTCGTCAGAACATGCAGGGTCAACGGATGAGCACCTCACGAGTATCTGGCCGAATCGCAAAGGTCTTTATGATGCTGTTAACAGCGTTTAGCATTGGGAATTATCAAGAAAGCATTGCTGCTATGGCCGAGAGAAAAACGATCAACTCGTGAATGTATAACCGATGATATGGTTGATAATTATAAGTGGAAAGTACCGTCATGAAGAACTCAATACCCACGTCAGACTGTAAAATAGTGAAAATTGTCACCCATAGTTGCTGAAAGCAATGGCGGGAGCTTGTGAAATGTACAAAAACGGCACGACTTTCGTGTTTCCAGGCCGCAAAAAGCCTTGACAAATGCATTTCCCACTTGCACGTATAATTAAGCGAAGCAATGGGCGAGAAGCACTAAACTCGAAGTCACAGGCATTCTTATAGTGTCGCAAGTTTTTTCAAACATTAACTGCAGCAAGTAAATCTCATTAAATCTCAAACTACTTTAAAAAACACACAACGCCACGTTACATTCTTTCATCCATAGCTGAATGAATATGAGTTAATAACTTGCTAGCATTGTGTTTTGATTCCTACAATGAAAGTTTTTGATTGAGTATTTTACCACACCGACCTCAAGGCCGTTTGATTTCTCCATTTTGAGAAGCTGCACGTGACCGCTCCTTCCTCTGTGATATGCGCGACACAAAAAGCAACCAAAAAAACAACACAGAAACACTGTCAAACTGAGTCCGACGATTATCCCAACTGTCATGTCTTCACTATCATCTACAGCAATCGAAAATTATACTTGAAAATAAAGCCAAGTTCAAAAGTGCATTGTCAACATAGGTAGAAAACATCAAAACATTATTTTCTCTTTGCAAATAACAAATGGAAGATGTTCCTGCGACTCGAAAGTTTTTGAACGTCAGCGAGAGTGCAGAAATATTTTGAACGACGAAAAAATGAAAAGGGCGCAACCCAACAGGAAATGTGGGTGCAGTACAAGCAATCGGAAAATAAAGTGTTTTTTTACTGTCTCACTAATTTAACGAATCGCTTTCTTAAGATGTTTCTTGATCGCATCATCATTGAATGATCATAAATTTTAAATTTTACTATCATTCTTCAAACCACTCCCCAGGACGTTGTATGTTCAATTGTTCAAAATCATAACATGAAGCGGAAACAACCTAATATTTACATACTATTTTTGCGTGTGAGACAACAATATTGACTCATTAATTGAACGTCGCATATTTCATACGGCATCCAATCAAATTGCAAAGTCTGTTACAATTGATCAGAAGATTTGGGAACAGACGCTCGACTTTCTGAAAAAATGAACTGCGAGGAAAATGGAGTACAGAAACATAATCACAGAATTTTCCGTTTTGAACTAAAAGTTACGCATGATTAAAAATGCTAAAGTTTCTTGTCCAACCAAAACTTTTGGGTTTTTCACCGAATTCGCGTTGGTTCATTGATAAATTAGAATAAATTCACGAACGCAAACTTCGAGTTGCTTTCAAAGTTTTGTATTTGACGTAGGCTTTGCATGAAAGCCTATTATAAAATATTGAAAGAGGATGATAGATTTTTCTCATCGTTCGATGAACTTCGTGTCTTACGTGCGAAAAAAGTGTCGCTCGCCGAAATATGAGCCATATTTTATTTATTCCTAATTATGACGATAAAAAGATGAGGTCAACTAGGGTAAATTGTAAACAAAATGAAAGCGGAAGTGAATAGTTTAGTTTTCACTTATTTCTTAAACATCAGAGTCCGCCTTCATCTCTCGATGAAATAAGCCGCAAATCAAGTAGTGAGCAATATCAATATTTCTCAAAACACGCGCATGAATGAACAGGCTGACCTAAATCTTCGATTTATAAAAACAGGACGCCGATAACGAGCACAAACCTATACAAGAATAGAAAAATGAAAAAATGGTTTTTCACCATTGACCTTTCAACTGGATAAAGAACGTTGAAGCACAACTATTTCTAATATATACTGTGATGCAAACTGAATTCAATTCCACTTAAATCTAGTGTTTAAGATATTGTGGCAGCGTGTGTGGAACTTTCTGCAAATAAAAGACTGAAGCAGAATTCCATGTTATGGATAGGGTTGAAAAACGCACCGATACCTTCTCAATTAACTTCTACAACTAACACTGTGTACTATAGTTTCAATAAACATTTGATTGTAATTACGAATCATTCTATCGTTTAATATTCAACAATCATACTAGTAACAGGCATCTTAATTAGCATTTTAAGACTCACATCAAGATGCATTACGGTACGTAGAAGTTTCGAAACATGGCGCAAGGAATCGCCAATTTTACAGTCTTACCGTTGTTTGAACTTTTTGTCGTCGTTGTTTTGCCATCATTACCGATCTTCTCGTTTGTGAAAACGACGTTGAGTAAGCTCGCTAACACAAACGCCGCGTGTTTAAAATGTACGCCCATCGTACAAGTGGTCTGGTACTCTGGTTCGCGAACAAATATAGCAGCTTTATTGCGACAAACTCATAATATTTACAATTTGTCGATCAACTTATGTGTCAGACTATCTCGGCCTAGTTTCGAATTTCAAGAAGGAAACGTTCACAAAGCGGCATCAGGCCAAATAATACTCTTGTCAAGAGTGAAATGAGCTTTATCAATCAGAAATCCAAGTAGCATGCATTGGACATGCCGTGAAAACGTGCACACCACATGGCTACTGAGACGGCTGCTCAAGGTTACATGAATTATTACGTGTAGAAGCTTTTTTATAATTAAAACGAAATTATTGCATTACAAATAGTGACATTTTTATTTAGGAAAGAAGCACTTATGAACTTTTCGTTCATTTCTATGAATTTGGCTTCTAATCTTCGAATCAAGCGAGAATGTGGTATCTTTGGCCGATGAGTTAATGGTTGGCTTATTCTTCAACTGTCTTGAACCATTTTGATAACAACAAAGCCAACATTACTTTTTATGTAGTTGAATGGATCACTTTAGGTTCTTTCATGAAAAGAAACAACTGCCCAATTCCGACAAAACCTATCGTATATGCTTTGAAGATTTTCTTTACACAAGGAAGCCGTTTTGATTCGTTTCAATGCCGATTTACCTCAAAATTAATTACTGAATTATCATTCTTTGGTATAGGCGAGGCGAAGGAAAGAATTTTAGTTTTATAGATGAAAGAAGCTGACACTGGTACAGTGACCCTAATGACGAAGTGAAAAATTAGACTATTGCCTCTTTGTATATGGCTCTCCTTGTGTGCGAGACGTTTTTTAAGAATATTAATATATCACATCTCGATTCAGTGCGTCAAATGCTTAGCAAGAAATTCAATCTTTTTGATGTTAAATTCTTAATAGCCTCACAAAAATGCAGAATTTAACAAAAGGATATTCTCGCCACGTGCTTTTACTTGTACTTCGCAATTTTCCTGTTTCTCCCTTCGCCGAAGGCTTATGTGGTTGGATACTTGCGTTTATTTTAACGCCAACATACAGAATAAACGCTTGAACGAGCGTCTTGTGTCGAAAAAGGGCTTTGTCAATTAACTTCTTTATTGCCAGCGAAAGAAACGATAGCGTTCGCTTCTCAGAAATTTTGAAAACACTTCTCTAAATCTAAACATTGCTTCGTTTCATTGCTCGTTGATAACAAGCCTGTCTGTTTTATTCTCGTCGTGAAAGTGCAATGCTATTAGCTATTAATCGATAGTTCATTCACAGCGTGTTTTTCAAAAAATCTTTAATGTTTCACACGTGTAGTGCAGTTTCTAACGCTACTTCTTTTGCAATGTGCATTCCAAGATTTACTCATATCTTTCATTTCCCTCGGAATTAAATTGGTCTCTTTTCTACTTGTTTTTATTGAACTCATACACATGTTAAAACGCATGATGTATTCTTTGTTTTATGAGAGTCTTCCACGTGTCGTCTCTTTCAGACTTTTTGTTCTTAGACATTCATGAGGATTTAAATTATTAATGTTCGCCTATTGTCTGTTTACAACGCTTTCGATTTCCGTTTTCTCGCAAATCTATATTCTCTTGTTCGTTGGCTGAACTAAGTCAACGGCTCAACGCTTGTCAACTGCATGTACCGCGAAGGAAGTCTTGTCGGTCCTGATGATATAACAGGGCACAATCTGTCGGCTTTGCCTTCAATTTAGCAATTTATTCACCACACGAGTTGTTTTTGTTACTTACACAACACTTTTATCCATGATTGCATGCATAACTTATCGTACAATGAGCCCGATATTATCCAGAATGTAAATGCAATGCATGACTTTGATAGTGTATGGACAGGCAAAAAATTCCTTCGATTTTTGTAGCTTGTTTTCGCAGCATTGCTTACATGTTGGGACATTCCCTTGGAATGTGTGGAATTTGGAAACCCTGGAGGTTCTATCATCTATGCCACAAGTGATTACGGAAAATTACTTGGATGGAAAAGAACGCGTTTATGCCAGCCTTATGATGATTCTGGTATGAAAAAGTGTTGCTTGTGCTTGGTCCCGGTCTGTACGAGGTTCGATCCTATGAATATGGAGATTGGAGAGGGCAACGCCTATGTGCCATAAGCATGCAGTGTTAATATAAGCAGGGTATGTAAGCTGAAGTGAGTTTGAGGGTTCTCACCTTACGGGTTTTTTCATTAGTTTTAATTTTTTGTCCGCTGGTCTCGATAAGAAACTGGGGAGGGGGAAAGGTTTATGTTTAATGTGGTCAGCTGTTTTTTCTTTACGAATGCCCGACCAGGGAACAGGATTGTTTGATCAACGCTTTTATTCGTCAACATGCTATTAGCTGTAGCGTGCCGAAACTCTTTATTTCGCTCATATATAAGCACTATTAAGGCTAAATTTATAGCCACGTGCTTCTGCATGAAGGACAGCTATATATTTCTTTCTGCTGAAACTGAAATTTATGAGCTTTGACAAGAATTTCGTTTGATTTGATTTCAATAAGAAACAAAACGCGCGTTCCAAAAAAGAATGGCTGTTCTGTGTAGAATTGTGTTTGTCGCCGGCTCGAAGTGTAATGAAGTACTATGGACTATAGAAATGATGAATCTAAAAATCGGCTCTTTAGTAACGCCATTGTTGTCCCATTTGAAACATCCAATTTTACTTAAACATAAGATTAAGATTTTGTTTGTTGTGTTCGGTTGCTTTGGGAAACCAAATCGATAAAGTCATGCTGGAACAATAGAATGTGGAAACAAATTTGTCAGCCTCAACCCGTGGGCAACGCTATAGATTGCATAGAAACACGTGAGTGTTAAGTTTTTTTTGATTGAACGCCTTTTTGCCACAGAAAGTTTGGGAAGAAGTTCATCGTGCTGTATTTGATATGACCTAATGATACTTTTTCGCCAAAATGTGCATGATTTCAAGCTTTATTTTTAAAAACAATACGTTGTTCTAGCAAACTGCTGTCATCAGGGCGGACGACTTATGAAACTGTAAAACAGCAGGTGCAAAGATTAAACGCAAATTCATTTCATTAAGAGTGTCAATATTGATCAACGACAGTTTATCAATTTTGTATCAAATATCATTCTTGTTCATCAATGGATCTCATGTTGTCAAATATTGCTGATTCTCTTTATTTCTTTGTTTACCATGCATATGTCCTTACACATCTGCTTATCGACTATTTTTTAAAGAAATAACTGGTTTTCTCTCCTTTATAATGAAGATATGCTATCGTATTTGTAGAGTTTATTTTTGATTTTAACACTCCAATATTCTTATAAGAAATTTCCACACCTTCAAGTTGCTCGTTTCTTCTACTGTACTTGGTCAAAGTTATGTTCAATCGAATACACGCAGTGTATATCAATTCATCTCATTTCTAACCATTAAGCCACAATGTATCCCCGAAGGTATTACAACACCCAGCGAAGTTTAATGATACACTCTATGCAAAATAGACTGAATTTCGGGTCGTGGGATGATTTATCAACGGGTCAAAAATCGCATTTTTAGTCATGGTAGTGAATGTCATCTTATTCCTTTGTTTATATCTATGTTTTCGTATGTTTATGTGAATCAATGAAATGGAACACAAGTGGAATCGAAAGGCAATCTCCTAAGTGAGAAAAGTTTGTTATTTTCTCAACCAACTTGTGTTATAATAATATGCATAAAATCATTGTTTCATTTCAAGAATTTTATATGCAGTGCGACTTTATCCAACAAGATGATCCGATCCATCTGACTGACATCTCGTGTTTGACAACAAAAGAACGCGCAAAAGCTACAAGATGAGGTGTATTGTTGATTTCGAGCTTAATAACGATGGCTGCGGAGACTCCACTGCAGAGCGTTTCAAAGAAATCGTTTCTGTATCTGAGGAGATTGAGCCCAGGCATTTGCAATCCTCCGTTTTGAGCAAGGTCTAAAATTTTCGCTTCGTATAAACTCGCCCAAACAACTTACTTGCAACAACAAAAAAACGAAACAATGCCAAACTAAACTTCAAAAACGAAAAAAGTATCTTTTGTTGTATTAAACTTGTTATTTTATTATCTTCTTTAAGGAAAAGTGGTTGTGCCATTTCCGTACAAAGAAACGCTATTCAAATTAAATAGCATAGGCACAATATAGAAACATACAGTAGTCTCACTTTGCAACTTGGTGCTGTATATTTAATTAGATTACTGGCTGCGGCTAGCCACCTAAGCGCTCCTACTAGCCGAAAAAAAGCAATTGACTTGCTGCCACTATACTAATCACATGCGTAATAAGATACGCGCATCACAATTTCTATAGAGTGGGACTACTGTTTGTTTCTATATTGTGACATAGTCTTGAATTCTTGAATTTCAATCAATCTATTTTCTTCAGCGAGATTATCTTTCGAAGTCCTTCAAGATTTTCGTCAGCAGTTGCATCTGAAGGCGAAGGAGGGATCTCGGGGATGGTCTAAAAATAGAAAGCAATTATTGACGAATATCCGAAATTGCCGAAAAAAAAATGGTACAACCTTTAGCTACTAGTCCAGTAACGTGAAGTTATAACATGCGATATTATTTGGCATATATTATAGCTGACAATAATATATGAATAATCTGCAGCTGCCATGTCAACAAGTTCGCTATTCATCTCCCTAAGGTATTCACTCCTTCACCTGAATAAAATTACCATCATTTCCGGTGGGTTAATTAACACGACTTTAACCATGCGCGCTTGCTAATTGCGAGATCATTAGAACGTAATGAGATCATTAGAACGTAATGAGATCATTAAAACGTAATGAGGTCATTAGAAAGGTATGAGATCATTAGAACGGTATGAGATCATTAGAACGGTATGAGATCATTAGAACGTAATGAGATCATTAGAAAGGTATGAAATCATTAGAAAGGTATGAAATCATTAAAAAATGAAACCATTAGAATGTTATGAAATCTTTAGAATGTTACATGTTTTGCTGGCAGATGATGGAGGGCGAAATGGACTTTTTCCTTCTATCAATCAAGTTGGTGTAATACTGATGAGCAAGTTTGTGTAGCAATGCTTTTAGCCAATTCGCAATATTTAGCCAATATTGTTGACAGCCTTCAAATGACATTGATCAGAATTGTTCCGTCCAATTCAGGACCAAACAATGAAATGCAACAACTGAGAGATGTAGGACTCTATTTTTGCATACATTTAAAATCGTTTCAAACTTCAAACACTTCATGTGTCACAAGCATTTTGTATATGAAACGACCTTAGCTTCTACCTGCCTTAACGAGTTAAGCTGAATTTGTAGAGTATACTGAGGGTATGATAGGATAACCTAAACTTTACTTTTATTACAACGTACCAAATTTGGTTTATAAAAATTATGAACAACAGATGCTCCTGCAAGCATCGATAACATGCAAGCACTTAAGACTTTCAAATAACTTCCCCAAGCCATTCCAGCCGGCATTTTGAACGATATGTGTGTAACGATTGAGCGTTTCTTCACGTTTAATGTTTACTGTGGACTTGCCGAATTTTTCGAGTCTTCGAGTCTTCTTTCTGATTCTTTTCTCAAAACTGTATCATCTATGGAGTGGAACAGAGAGCAAATTGAACTTTCCATCTGCGTTGTTTACTGGACTATTTGGACACAACACTGAGTCATTGAAAATATCTGTCTAGCTATAGTTGGTAATTTTCTTTGTTTAAATGCCATCTGATCACAACCCTGAAGAATTTTCAATGCTTCCATGGGGTTGGAATGTAAAAGATGGCGTTTTTGTTGGGGGGGGGGAGGGGAGAGACAGCAGAGGCCTAATTTACACAATGACATAACATCATGAACTGAAAAATAGAAAACCTAAAATTTATAGTACAAAATGAGAAATAAGTTATAAGACTAAATGGTCGTTTCTTTAACATCTTGCCTTTCC